GTTGCGCTTTTTTTTCTACACCATAAGAGCACACTATGCTCGTCCCATGAGCGTCCTGACAAGTACAGAAAAGAGCATGCGATGCGAACACACATTTTTCACATAGCAATCAAATATGTTTAACTACTTGCAGGGTGTTTTTTTTAAGTATAGGTTTGGTCGGCACTTCGTTCATGGAAAACCCTGTATATTTAAGAATAATTGTTAATTAGAGTCATACAACCTTTAGATTAAAAATTTCTTCGTATTTTTAATTACGCACTGATGAGACATCCTGTATTTTTGTTATTGGCTAATTTATTGGTATCGTTGGATAAGTAAATTTATAAGGAATTTTACTCTAAAATAACATTTGAAAAATTGAGTAAATTGAACTTAAAATATAATATATAAGACATGTTTCAAAACACTCTGCATAAAATAATCCAGTTTTATCACCACTATTCGTTAGCTGAGTATCTTATGAGGCTAAACTCACGCAGTACAACAAGGAAATAAGAAAAGCTAAAAGACAAATGTGGATGAAGTTCTGTGAGGAGGTATCTGAAACACCCACATGCTCTAGCTAAAGAAGGTACTGCAAACCAAGTAGGATTTCTCAGGAAAGATGATGAAACCTATACAAAAACCTTCTAGAAAACATTAACAATGCTCACAGAAGTACACTTTCCGGCCGCAGAAATTTTTCTAGGCCCGATAGTAGCATACACTCCTCAAAGAAGCTCGTAGGCCAACTCCTTTGAAATAAAGGCTAGTTACAGAAATATCGAGGCTGAACAAAATTAGATGGGCTAGAAACAAATTTCAACCATACAAATCCCCAGGAGTAGATGGAATATATCCCATTCTACTACAAAAGGGACAGGAAATTTTAATTCTACAATGTGTTGCATATTTAAAGCATGTATAGCCTGGCGACATATATCAAAGGCGTGGCAAAAGTTGAAAGTCATATACCTTCCTAAAGCAGGAAGATTTCATGATGACACCAAAGTCATACCGCCCAATCAGTCTATCGTCATTCATGCTGAAAACGCTAAAAAAACTAATAGATAGATATGTACGAGATGAAATACTGATAGAAAATCCTCTCAGAGACCGTCAATATGCATATCAGCCAGGCAAGTCAACCGATTTAGCCCTGAATGATCTCAACAGGCTATTGTCAAAATCTCTGGAGGATAAAGAAATGGCAATAGCAACTTTCATACATATTGAGGGAGCTTTTAGTAATGCCCCAACAAGATCTATAATTAACGCCCTAATAATGAAAGGGGTACCAGTAGACTTATGCCAGTGGATAAAAGCCAGTCTAGAAGAAAGGGTAATAACATCATCTCTATGCAAAGCTACACTGACAGCTAAAGCAGACAGGGGCTGTCCCCTGGGAGGAGCATTATCACCCCTCTTCTGGTCAGTCCTAGTAGACGAACTCATAAAAAGGCTAATATCTGCAGATTTTTAGATTTCTACTGCCTAGGGTATGCCAATGACCTGGCGATCGTCGTCAAGAGTCAAGCTCGCAGGTATAATATCGGAGCGCACACAAACCGCTCTAAAAATTGTTGACGAGTGGTGCAGAGAGGAGGAACTGACAGTAAACCCTTACAAAACCACAATAGTCAACTTTACAAAATGAAAAGTATCAACAGGGCTAAAGTCACCAGTACTGAAAGGAGTGAAGATTCCATTTGCTCAAGAGGCCAAATACTTGGGAGTCATCATTGGCCACAGGTTAACATGGAATCAAGACTTGCAAAAAGTCACCCAAAAGAGCACAACATCCTTCAACTTAGTGTCGAAGGTTGTGTGGAAAAAATTGGGGACTACAACCGAAAATGTCACTATGGTTATATACCAGAGTCATAAGGCCGATGATAACCTACGGGTCGGTGGTATGGTGGCCAAAGACTCGCCAAGCTAGAGCCATTCGACATCTCAATAGTATTCAAAGGCAAGCATGCCTGAGTACCACCGGAGCTATGAGAACGACTACATCAGTTATAGAAGTCATGCTAAACCTATCACCACTTAATATATTCATTCAAGGTGAAGCTAGGTCTGTCACATACAGACTGCACAAAGGTTCATCACCCAAAAGCAGTTTGCATGGACGTGAGCTATATAAAGAGTTGGAGAACGACCAAATAATGGGAATGCCTTTAGACGAAATGCTCCCAAAGTATAGCGTTCAAAAGCAATATAAAGTAAGTATACCAAACAGGGAACCGTGGACGGAAGGACCTCCTATTCATGCAGAATTCACCTGGTATACAGACGGCTACAAAACCCATAAAGGTTCAAGAGTAGGTATATATAGTACCAAGCCAAAGACAGGAATCTCACTGAGCTTAGGTAAATATACGACAGTATTCCAGGCAGAAATAGCAGCAATACATCACTGCGCAAAAGAAGTATTAAGACAGAAGGTAAATGGAAAAACCATTGTCATATACTCAGACAGTCCATGCACTCAGTTCCATGCAGGTACACTCAAAGCTTGTGTGGGACTGTTTGGAAGCCCTAACAGAGCTGGGTAGTCAAAACAGACTAACCTTAGCCTGGGTACCAGGCCACAGGGGACACAAAGGCAATGAAGAGGCTGATTTACTAGCCCGAGAAGGAGCCTCAAATGCTCTTATTGGCCCAGAACCCTTCAGTGGTGTAACAAAAACAACTATCAGAACATGCACAAAGCAGTGGACGTTTAAAAAATCTCAGGAGTGGTGTATAAACTCACCAGGCCAGAGACAGGCCAAAGGGTTCTTAAAATGTCCATCGCCCAAACTCACCGAGCAACTACTAAGCCTTAGTAGGAAAAATACTAGAGTACTAGTAGGTCTATTAACAGGGCATTGTAGGCCTTACAAATATAGGAATAATATCGGTCTGACAGAAGAGACATTGTGCCGATTCTGTCAGGAAAAGGAGAAAACGACAGAACACGTATTGTGCTACTGCGAAGGTCTAGCAAGACTCAGCTTCCTTACATTTGGAGAAGAAATTCCAAGGGCAACTAGCTATGCCGGAGAACTACTTCCCAGTATATGGAGTCTACTTCAAAAGACCGAATTAGACAAGTTACTTTAAATAACGATTCAAGGATATCCACAACAGATCTGAAAAGGTCGAGGTGGGGGAGGCCACGTGGCTCACAGTCCTAATTAAATCTAATCTGAGTGCGTATTTTAAACAATTTTGTTAGAGAGAGAATATGTGTTTATTGTCCAAGTTAAAATACTTATTGACAAACACAATATTGTACAAATTACAAATAAATAAATAGTCATACAAACACAATATTGTACAAATAGTATATAAATTACAAATAAATAAATAGTCATTAAAATATAAACAAACATTATTATAAATTAACATTAATACATACATCTAAAATAAAATGAAACATAACAAAATAAAACACATATCACAATGTCTCGTCATTATAAAATTCTATAATATTATAATAAGGCCTAGTTAACAGAAATCTCTTGAGCACCTTTCTAAAACAATTCTGTGACTCAATATCTGTCAACGTATGTGATAGCCTATTGTACATTTTGATACCATTGTATATAAAAGAGCCTCTTATTAGTTCAGTTTTGGGAATAGGCAACTTCAAGTTACCCGTTTGGCGAGTTACACGGGATGCATTCGATTTATATTTCGACTTTTTCTTATGGATCATGCAACAAGTTTCTAAGATAAATAAAGTTGTTAATGTTAATATTTCTTGTTTTAAGAACAGCGGTCTGCATGAAACTAATCTGTGTGCTCCACATAAGAACCTTATTGCCCGTTTCTGCATTATAAAGACTCTGTCAAATAACTCGGCAGAACAGACTCCCCAAAACTGAACAGCATAACGTAAATGGGAGTCAACTAACGTATAATATGCAGTTTTTGCTGCACAAACTCCCAATTCATGAGAGGTGGTTCTAATGGCATAACAACCCGATGCGAGTTTTTTTAAAAGTGAATCCACATGAGATTTGAATTTCAAATCCATGTCGATATTTAACCCCAAAAATTTTGTACAGTTTGTGGCTTCTACAGTATCCATATCTATTAAAATATCAGGAACATTACATTTAAAGGTTAGTATTTTTGTTTTTTTAAAATTTAATAACCTGCTTAAATTATGAAAATTTAATTTGGGGTCTTCTTCATTCTCTAATTTCCAAAAAGAAAAAAAGAAATTAATTGTTTGGCAATCCTGTAATATTTTTTAAAAAAGTTGAATACAATATTTCCTAGCCATTCTAAAACTGAAATAAAATACAAGGGTTCTGTTTTAAAAATATACATTTTTATTTTCCAGGCAATAACGCAACACCCTGTATATCCAAAAATATTTATAAGATATGCATTTTTATAATCCATATAACTTTTATTTGAAACTTGTTTGCGTTTCTAAAATAAAAGTTGAACAATTACGCGCTAATGGGTATAAGTACCTACCCAATTTTTAAATTACATTTTTATCCAGAATCCGGACAAAAAAGTAAAAGTAGATAAAAGGTTTCCTAGACAACAAAAAAGTTGCTCAAGAATGTATTTGTTTATTTAAAACAAACTGCCTAATGAGTAGGGTTGCCACCTTTTTGAAAAGTGAATAAAGGATTGCGATGCTGACAATAAAAAAAGTCGGCGAGCTAGCAAGAAAAAAAGATCCTCTTCGTCATTCTTCTACCCCGAGCTTCTAAAAAAAAGTCCTCAGCTTTATATTTCTGTACAAACCATGTCCTTTCCAAAGATATGTGCTGTCAAAAAAGGCATTTGGCATAAAAAGGACATTTTAAGCTTTAAAAAGTCACAAGGACATTTTGATTCAAAAAAGGCCTGTCTTTTTTAAAAAAGGACATGTGGTAACCCTACTAATGAGTGATATTTGTTATATTTATAAAAATTGTAATATCCGAATTCACGATAATTAAAAAATATTTATACTCGTACCTTTAATTTAATTATAAAAATGATTAAAATATAAAAATACTTACTGTGAGTAGGAATCACAAAATCCAACATATTTCCGAAAAATGGATTAGGTTTAGGCCCTGATATATTTTTCAAATATTTCTCATGTTTTTTGACATAACTTTTATGCAAATATACCGGCAACACTAACAAAGTCAGGAAAACACCAAAAAGGCCGATTAAAATAAACATATTCAATATTGAGAAAATGTTTGAAATAATTCCCAATATTTTGTTGCATCGGACCAAATATTCACTTATACCTATAGAACCTCGTACTACTCGTATAACAACTTTTTGCTACCTATACCGCATAAAAACCGGCTTGTAATAATGCAAGACACCAATCATAAATCAGTGAGTACGCACGCATTTATTGCTAATTTTGGACTTGCCAGTGGCGTGTCAAGAAAAATGGTTAAATAAATTTATATAAATTTACTCGTACCGGATGGCCCAATAAGAATTAGTCGGAGAGCTGATTACAAATTTGAAAAAGATACGTAAAATACACTCGAGTTGTAGAGTATATTTTGTTTACGACCCACTAACGGAAATAAATAAATTGTAAAAATTAATTTAGAGGTTATAATATAATATATATTGTAAAAGAAATTCCGCACGCCCATGGTGTTCTAATTCCTAGAAAATCGTTCGTTGTTATCGATCGATATTTCAACGGTGGTATGATGTCTTTTTAAGTTGTTCGAGACATTCAGTTGTATTACAGTAGTTATTTGGTAAATTAGATGTGTTAATAAAATTTCCATTTGGGATTTAAAAATAGGTTGTTTTATTGTTTTAAGGGAAATTATTCAATTGTTCCTTACAAATTGTCAGAAGTGGGATATGAACTTGAAAATTAACAGTGAAAAACCGTTAGAAACACTTTTTTTTTATCGCAAGTTTTTACGCAGTTCTCATATATTGTGGTTTCAACGATAAAAGTTAGTGCCGGTTTAAGTGAATATGGCCAATAGGGATAGAAAACGAAAACGGAAAGAAAACTCACGTAACGAAAGTAGTTTGAAGACGCCCAGCTAGCACATAACGTTACCAAGCCTTTCGGCGATGTTGTTTTAAGGGAACATAATATCATACCCATACAACGTAATTGCAACGTTAATGAGAAGTTGTTGAGGGAAATCAAAACCTCGCGAAACATCTATTTGTTACTTACGTATTTAACCTGCCTGTTATGATAACACAACGTAATTAAGTAACTTGCTAAAAAAGTTTCCACGAGAAGTACTGTGGACTTTCGAACGTAGCCATTCGTTTGTCATAACCAACAAAACATAAAAAAATGTCACTTGTCACTTTTTCTTGTACGTATTTCAGATTTTAAAGAAATTGGAAACTAATAATCCTTCCTCCATGTTGGAAACTATACGTTTGAATAAGTTTGGTAAGTTGTTTTCTTCTTTTCAATAAATTTTCTAATTTATTGTCTGTTGTTTTAGATGGTAAAATTTCAATTTCCAAATACAATAAAAAATAAATCATTGTAAACAAGTAGATACAATTAAATGATGAAATATTTATTTTACACGATAATAGGGATCTTATTGATGCCTTAATACTATAGAAGTAACGATATTAAACAATTAAAGTATCGATATTTAGGCACTGAATTACCAATACTATCGCCATAGTGATACTTAGAAGCAAGTATTGTATCGCTATGTGTGTGGTCAGAGATTATAAGGTTTGTTCAAATATTTGTACTGAAATATTTTAGTTTTTGCATGTGGTGAAACTTGGTAATATGATTAAGCGTTACCACTGTTTTTTTGTTATTTAATTATAAGGTAAATTGCCAGTTATTGACACTATAACTTGTACCAGGTAGAGTACCAGTAGAGAAAGAAAAGGTGTCGACTACAGAATATACTTTACTGATGCACTCTTGTTATTAGTTAAGTTCCCTACTCCGTCCTGTTGAATGGGGGTTGCCAGCCGTTTAACAAAAATCTTTTACTTTTTCGATACTTTGTTACTCGAGACTTATAAATATCAATATCTTTAACATAATATCGAACAGTATCGATGCCTCTACCACAAAGTATCTCACATGATACCGGTATTGATACCTTTGACCGATACTCAACCCTACTCCCAATTATAAAAATACAAAAACAGAGAAGTCATATACTGCCATCCTAACAAGAGAAGTCCTATCTGAAAATTTATATTTATTATCTTTTAAACCTTTTTTTGTGTAACTTTTTAACATTTTAGTACCTTTGTTACAAATAAGACATTCCTTTTCAGTATCGAGAAAGATAAAATGTAGACAAATGCACATAAAAAAACTGCTAATTTTGCAGATAAAACCTTTCTTGCTAGAACAGCAGTATAGAAGTGCTCATGTAGTTCACTAAAGATAAATAACATTTAAATTTGTTATGTTTCAGTAAATTAAGTATTACCATTGCTGGACAGTAGTGACGTTTTGGTGGATAAATACAGCATTTCCCTGGATATATATACCTATGCCATTTTGCTGTACGTTTGCTGCACAATACGAATTGCTGGACAAACTTTAAAAATGCTTTACAATACAGAAAAATTGCTGTAAGTATGGTCGCCCTAGTGTAATATTTTAATCACTAAAAATAAATTTTAAAAATATTGTGTTTTAGGTTTCCTTTGTGCTGGATTATAATTCTAGTAAAAATCTCAGGAATTTTAGAAGCTAAAGTTAATACAGAATTGGTTGAAGAAGAATATATATACATCTGAGATTATTTCTTTTTCTTTTATAGCAGAATATCATGCTAAAAAACATTGTTCTGTATAAGTTGAACATCCATTATTAAGTATAAAATTTGTAAAAGTCAAAATAAATGTTATTATTTATTTAAAAAAACAAAGTAAGTAAAAATCAACTAAAAATAGGTGCAACGATTTAAACGAGCATATTTTTTATTTTCTTTATATATATATTATTTTCTTAATAATAATTAAACAAGTAAATTTATTATCTACAAAGTTATTTTTATGGAAGAAACTATGTAATTAAGTTCACATATTTATTTGTTTACAGTATGCTACTGATATATAAAGTTCTAAATGGTTAAAATATCAAAATAAAATAAAAAAGAAATTAATAAAATTGTCACAGTATAAAAATGAAGTCAATAGTGTAATAAAAGTTGACACTTTAAAAAATAAACCTTTTAAAATGTCATAATTTGAAAAATACTTATTGTAATTGGACATCAGTTGGTCTACAAATAAATTCTGTCCATAGTTAGTTATATGAGCATTTACATAAAATAGTTTCATATGCCTAGTAAGTCTGGCAGGAACAAGGAATCTAATAAAGTGTACCAGGCTGTCACTATCAATCAAACCGTTCAATAACTTATACAGGAAAACAAATGATGCTTCTCGACATCTGCATTCCAAACTCTTACAGGTCCCTCTCAAAAATAACATTAAGATCATTTATAGTTTGCTCAAAACTTAGTTCAGAACCTGCAATGACAATCATGCATAATGATATTAGCTGTTTTATTAAACCTTATGACTTTACATTTATCAATATTCAGTTTATATCATATTAAAACTATGATTAGTACCAGTTGTAGGCATATATCTTTTTTTAGCATCCTACAACTGCCATCTTAATAAAAATCTAGTGACTTTTGAAATATACCTTATATAAATACACTTTTTACTACTTTTGTACAATCGTGCACCATTTTAGCTACCAGTGAACCTTTGCAATATAGGTACCTTATTATACTCTTTCGTGCAAGCGTTCAGTGTTTTCGATTCTAGTGAACCTTTGAGATATTCCTTATATACCCTTTATGAGATATTCCTTATATACCCTTTATACCAACTTTTGTCCAATTTGTCAGTGTTTTTTTTACCTATATTATTAATACCTACCTCTACTTGTATGATATTGGTTCTTGATTTCAAAAGCTTTTTAATAATAAATTTATACAATTTTTTATTTTGTTTTCTTCAGATTTTACTATATCCTCAATATACTATTTTGAATATAGTGTATCCAAGGATGGTCATAACTATACTTGTAAAGATATTTATTTTAAATTTTTCAAAAGGTCTTTTTCATGATTTCTCAAAATCGTATTTATTTAACAAGCAAAAGAAATTATGAAGAAGTACTTTTAAATTTAAAATAAATATTTTTACAAGTATTGTTAAGTCCATCCGTGGACACACTGTATAATGCTGTAGAATGAATTCACATTATAACATCTATAGAAAGTTTCAGAGCAACTTTCAGGGTAAGTACCGTAAAAGTGCTAGTGTGATGTTTTCCGAACTTCACTTTTTAACTTCTGTGAGATGTGATATAAAAGTCTTGCCGTTGCGGACATTCGGTGGTTGCAGGGATAATAGGGTTACATTAACAGTACATTGCATGCGAGCTTAAAGAGCCTAAAATTGCAGCTTATTAACGTAGATGGGATGTTTTTGTGCTAGCTGGGCGGCTTTTAAACGATTGAAAGAAGACTTACGTAACAAACCCTCGACGTCTGCTTATTCTGGGAATGAATTTTTAATTCCTTTATTTGTCCCAATAAAAGATGAAATAGTAGTAGAAAATGAATACAACGTATAGAAAAGCTTACAGAACGATATAAATGGAATGACGATTCTATTATGTGTCTAATAGCCGGGCGATTTAGTGGAATTTCAGTACAGTGGTATGACGAAAAATATGATGTTTCTTGGATCGAAATAAAACATAATAGGTATGATCGAGCAATTTAGTAAGTTAATTCCTTTTTCTAAATTTCTTAGGGACGCTGTAAATTATGAGACCAACCAGGGTCAAAATTTAGACGATTACTCTTTTAAAAAAAATCTCTAAATTAAGAGCTCTTGAGTTACATGTTTCTGACGAATGTCATTGATGGTATAACGGATGAAAATATTTCACGTACAGTAACGTCTGCACGTCATGCAGATTTAAATATTATGTTATATGCTTATTTAAATATTATTGGCAATGAAGGAGATAAAAATAAACTTGACAATAAATCGATTACACATATTTCTAGTATTTATAAAAACGGTAATCATGTAAAGTCGAATTTTTGTAACTTAAATTTGATAACAGTCATACTAAAAATCAAAAATACGATTCAATTTGTTTTAATTGTAGAATGAAAGGACAGTTTTCACGTGATTGTAGAAAACCTCGTCTTGAGTGTCGCAAATGTAACAAACTCGGACACTTACAAGACAAGTGCCCTAACGAAAGTAAACAATTAAAAAGAGACGTTAATATAATTAGTAATGAACGTAATATTTTGAATATGTACCTTAAAAACGCTTTTATAAACGGTCATAAAAGATAATGTTTAGTTGAT